AGGGAGGGAAGGAAGGAAGGAAGGAAGGAAGGAAGGAAGGAAGGAAGGAAGGAAGGAAGGAAATTATGCAGTTACCAAATGTTACAGAATGTATAATCACACAAAAGACAGGAAGTTCCATGCATTGAATAAGGCTGGCAAAGTATGCATTAATAAACTTTGGGGAGGAAGTCCACATTTTTTAATAAGTTAAGGAAACAAAGGTCATGCAGGGGCACAAGTTTGTTTCTTTGTCAAAACATAGAAAATGACATCCTTGCATCCAAGACAACTTTGATGAATTTTATTATGGTCCCTCATGGTGCTCTTCCCAAACATGGCTTCTCACTTATCAAGTCTTATTTTCTCAGCTGCTTTCCCCTTCTATTTAGAGATGATTTAAATTATGCTTCTCCTTTGGAAGAGTTCATGCCCAAGAAACACTTTGCCTTACCCAGGCAGAAGGAAGAAAGTTGTACTTACAAAGACTCCAAGGAAAGAGTTGAGCAGCAGTATCTTTTTCCCAGCACAGGAATCACAGGAATGTGGCATGAGGAGAAGCTTTACTTATAAACTGGTTTTGCAATTGTTGCAGAGAAACTCCTCATCAAGTACCAAATTTTCTGTCAACAAATTGCATGGGGCATGAGACCAGCCTCCTGACATAAACTGAGTTAAGGACTAAAAAGCTACATTTTGGTGGGAGTATGCAAAGCATTTCATAAAAGAAAAGGAAGGCACGTGAGGTGAGGCTCTCTCTGGAAGCTCAAGCTCAGGAATCAGCAGCCAGTACAATAAGCTCTGGCTAATACGGAGGAGAGCAGCATGAACTCAAAGCCAAAAAGAACATACAACTCTCTCTCTTGTTCCTTCTATTTAGTCTCTACCCTGTCTCTTTTCTCTCAAGTACATTCAGAGAACAAACATCATTACAACTTAGGTCTGAATTTGGATTGTCTTTCAAGAGAAGAATTCATAAAATAAATTAATCCGTCAATCACTATAAAGATACGGTAGCATGGGATCTCTGTTAAATGCAATTATTTGAACAAAATACTCTGGCTTTAGAGTATTTAAACTTTTATCTATAGTGGATGATCTGGTTCTTGCATTACTGATAATCAAATTGTTTATCTGAAGTAACATTGAACTCAACAACCATCCTAATGAAAGTATAGTCTGAAGAACTTTTCAAATAACTTACTAAGAATCCATGCAGGTCATAATAATCTCAGCCAAAGATTTATATGAACATAGGCTCCTAGAGTTAGCTTCCAAAGCTTCTTTGGATACCAGGGATAACCAAAGAGACATGATCATATATAAACTGAAATGCTTTCTGCACACTAGCAAATCAAGTTGAAGCAACAAACTCTGGCTATCAAACATATAATAACTGTTGTTGGTTAACATACATTGTATGACCATACAATATATTCTGAGAATACATTAATTTTTTAAAAAAATAAATTCCATTGTCAATAGCCTCAGAGAAGTTCATTCTCAGCATTCAAATTGCTGCCTATCATCATTATGAAAATGCTATTTTTCCCCAATGAGATGCAAAATTATAATTTTGAGCAATATCTAGAACAGGGATGTCAAACTGCCGGCCCGTGGGCTGGTTTCGTCATACCGGAGCAGCGCCCACCCCATTGCCGGCAATGGCGAAAAAGCTCCGATACATCGCGTGACGTCACGTGACGTCGGAGTTTGACATGCCTGATCTAGAATGTAGATCAATGTCTTGCAGACATCCTGACATCCAAATACACTTTTTATTAAGAACCAACCTTTCGATCAATAAGCAGTACCTCCAAAAACGGGAGCAGGCATGTCTTTCAATATACGGATTAATAAATATTTCCTTTTAACCTTCTCTAATTCATGCTTATTTTGAGAATGATTCTCTTGATGAAGTATCCTCAAAATGTAAGGTTCCAATATAGAAAGCAGACATTCAATTCAAAAGTTTTCCAAGAAAAAGAAAAAAGAAAGCTCATAAACAGTATTTTAATTACTTTCTTAGTTCTTCATTTCTCTTACTGAAATAGAAACTTCCTTTCCATACTGTTATGCAATACACTTCCTCCTAATTGAACACGTCAAAATTATTATAGTGCAAAATATTATTAATAATGGTAGGTGGAAGAAAGCCAGTATCATTCTAATTTTAAACTACAGTTAATTCACACTTGGTTTTGTATTAGTTTGTTTTATACGTGCAAATATAATAGAAATTTAGTACTAAAACACTGATTTGCTGCGCAAGGCCAAGTGGATAAGCAAATTTTAGCTTATCAGTCATCACCGTAGACTTTTTTGTTTAAATTACTAATCACTGGTTCCTGCTAGTTTTCAAACTCAGATCACTCAACAATCATCAGGATGTATTGCTCTTTGGTTGGGATTTAGGGGAAGCTATTTTGTTCTTCATGATAGAAAATTCCAGAAGCTTCACCATCATTGTTTGTGTATAGTCCAGTCCCATATAGATGATAATGCATGCTTGGACCTGCTGGCAAATCATCACAGCTCACTTTGAAGAAAGTTAGATTACCCGATAAATGCAATAGCTTGAAATGTTTATCTGTCTACATTCCTTTTTATCTGCCTTTACTTCTTATCATCTCAGTTAATTGAAGGCAATGCTAGACAGCTTCCTGTGGTTTGGCGCCACAACACACAACTGGGAGTTCATGAAATTATTATTTCATATCAGAAACCAAGTTTCATTCTGCACAGCGGAGCCATTCTAGTTCCCATTATCAGCAATGGAACTGTCACACATTTGAACTGTGGGAACAGAGAAGCTAAAATATTTCAACCTTGCCTTGCTGTGAACAATCAAACTAAACAAAGAGTTAGTCAATTTTTATGCAACCATAGAGCAATAGAATACATAGAGAAATCATCTTTATTTACTCCTATTTACAACAATTTTCAACACTGCAACCATGTCACCCTGCTGCAACTCTGAGATGAAAGATTACTACTGAAAATAAAGATGTGTTTAGAATAATAGCCCTACTGTAGTCATTTCAAATACGCTTTCAGGATAAAGAACTAAAAAAAAAAATCAGTATTCATCACAGTAAACAGATGCCTCTATAATAAGAGCAAAAATTCAAAAGCAATACACTATTAGCTTCTGATTTTTCTTTGAATCTTATTAAATTCCAAAACAGAATTCTTCAAATAACCACAAAGATAATTGAAGGATCCAATCTGGGTTGGTAACCGGGACCTGCAACATTATCCTGAGACATGTATATTCCTCTTCATTCGACAAAGTTAATTGCCCAACATGTCAACAAAATCTAATTGTTTGCTTCAGCCTTGACTTTTATTGTAGGTAGTCCTCCACTTACGACCACAATGGAGCCCAAAATTTCTGTTGCTAAGCAAGACAGTTGTTAAATGAGTTTTGCCCCATTTTATGACCATTCTTGCTGTAGTTCTTAAGTGAATCACTGCAGCTGTTAAATGAATAACACCGTTGTTAATCAAATCTGGCTTCCCCATTGACCTTGTTCGTCAGAAGGTTGCAAAAGGTGATCACATGACCCTGGGACACAGCAACCATCATAAAAACATGACAGTTGCCACATGTTCAAATTTTAATTCAAACAATGGGGATGCTGCAATGGTTGTAAGTGTGACAAACGGTCATAAGTCACTTTTTTCAGTGCCATTGTAAATTCAAACGATCATTAAATGAATGGCTGTTAAGTTGTGGACTTCCTGTATTTTCCTTGGGTTTCTCTTCTGTTATGTTAGAAAAAAGAAAACTACATTATCTTAAGGCTAAAATTAATGGCACTTAATGAAGGAAGGACATAAAAGGAACAAGTATTATCGCATTTAGTTCAAATTGATTAACACACTTTGACTGAATTTCAAAAAGTTAGATGTGGCCAGGCCTTAAACGAGAGACTAAACTGTAGAATAGGGGAAGTTATCCCCCCTGCTCCTCCTCCCCCTTCCAAAGTCCTGGAAAAAAGAAGTGGTGATTTATATCTGTAATTGTTGTTAAGAAAACAATATGGGACTCTCCATTTAAAGTTCAGTTCAGTTCCAGGGAAAGTTTATCTTATAATTTTCATATTTAAAATATCCCAATAAATTAGTCCAAATATTTTCAGCTGTCGCCTCCATTTTGAATATTGTATCAGTCTCAGATAACTGGAATTTAAAAACACAGTAGGATTGTGGAAAGATCAAAATCTGAAGGGGATATGAGTTGGAGTATAGGTGGACACAGATGTAGCACATGTTGGCAATTCTAAGAAAAGTTGTACCTTTACTGTACTTTCTGCACTCAAAAAAAAAAAAAAAATGCCCTTGATTTGAGATTAGGTGTTTTGTATGTGCCCATACATCCCTTCAAATTTGGATCTCTCCGACACCTTCTTTGCCATATTTGAAAGAGATTTCCTTTACTAGGTGGGGATAAAATATGGATCAAAGGAAAATTATTCTAGTTTATGTCACTTTATTATGACTATTCTTTACAAGATTATTTGTTTCTTATATTTCATGCAGGAGATATAGAGCAGGGGTCTCCAACCTTGGCAACTTAAGACTTGTGGACTTCAACTCCCAGATTTCCCCAGCCAGCATGGCTGGCTGGGGAATTCTGGGAATTGAAGTCCACAAGTCTTAAAGTTGCCAAGGTTGGGGACCCCTGATATAGAGAACCAGTTTGGTGTAGCAGTTAAGAATCAAGCTAGGAACTGGGACATTGCGAAGTTTAGTCCTGCAATGGCTACAAAGTCAGCTGGGTAACTTTGGGCCAGTCATTCTCTCTCAGCCTTTGGAAGCAGGCAGTGGTAAATCACTTCTGAGAAATCTTGCCAAGAAACTGTAGGGACTAGTCCAGGCAATCATCAGAAGTCCAAAACTGACTTGGAGACCAATAATAATAATAACAATAACAACAACAACCCCCCAAACAGAAACTCCTGTTTTATTTTAATAAGTTTTATTTTAATAAGTTTTCCATGCTGTTATTTGCTCACCTCTCCATGAATACTATTATAAACCATTTGTAGTATTTCCAGACTCTGGAAGAAAAATAAAGAGAATTTTATCAACTTACATGCGAGAGGTGTTTAACTAAATCTGCTTCTATTCATCTTAATCGAAAGATAATAAAAGGAAAGTTAGCGGATAAATATTTTTATTAATTAATTTCTCCCTGTTTTATTTCTTTCACTTTTTGGTATTACTTAAGAAGCAATAGATAAATATGATCACAGGTATATCTGCTAAAGACAGATGAAGGATATTTATGACTAAACTCTCAGGTTTTTGCCATATGCTAATTTAAGCAAACTCTTGAACTGGAGAAATGAATCATAAACATGTCATTGTGGTTATTTTCTTATGTAGAGCACAATTTATCACTAACAATTAAGCATCCAGTTTTTAATTTATTATTTATCCCTGGTTCTCCCCTAACTTATATTTGATTCCTCTAAGGAGTATATGAAAAAAGAATATTTTGCTTATAAAATTTAAGGATATTCTAATTCCATATTTTCCCCTGAATACATTGCATTTTTCATTCTACTTTGTAAATGATTATTAAAGTTATAATAATAATTATTAATAATTATTTTTTAATCAGAGCCAGGTTATTTTCTCCTAATGAGGATTATGATAGAAAAAAATATCCTTGATTATAGCTATTATCAAATAATGAAGAAACTAGATGATTTTGGTTATATTTGATGTGGCAAATTCTGTATTTTTCAAGTGAAAGAATCTTTTTAAGGGAAGTTTTTTAAATGGGGAGTTCTTTTTAAGGGGAGAGGAGAGATAGCATACGATATAAAGACTCATTTTAATTACATTTGGTCCTTCTCAAAATCTACATACAGAGAAGACATATACATAGATAAGCCATTTTATTTCAGATTGTCCTTTTTATATTTTAAAATAACGTTGATCTCTGATTCTCACACCCAAGATAGCCACTAACATACCTGAACAAAAGCTATCTCTTTGTTTCCCAGACTTTTTTCAGGTGCTGTCATCTGCAGTGATTTCAGCCTTATGCTACTGCTAGCAACTGAACTATTATCTGAAAATGTTTGCTATTTTTATTATAAAATATAACATTCCTTTCTTGATTATTCCAAAATGACTTGGAACTAATAATTTGATGAGGAAACTGTGACATTCATTTAAAGGCTTATTCCTAGACAAGAAAGATACTGTATACCTTTTTACTGATCATGCAATGACTTGCAGTAAAGTTATATATAGAAAAATATTGCTATAATTAATATTATTATAAAATACAAATACATGGTGAGCATTATCCATAAGTTTAAAATGAACTACTTCCTGTTATAGAGAAAGAAATTAGTATCATGAAACACTGCTGATTTCTCCTTTGCTTTCTTGCCAGCCAGCAAGTCTAGGTTATGGGATCAGATCTCCTCTCATTTTAGCACTAAGAAAAGTAGTGGAGAGAGCTCATATTACCATGATTTCATCCCCTGAATTCTGAACTCTGTGAACTCTGCAAACAAAGTTTTCATTCTGGGGAACAATAGACCTGAAATAATACAGCATACAATTGGCTAGAAATACAGTGTTTTATTTTAATCTCTATACAACACTGCTATTCTTGAGTCACCACTCAAAACTAAGTTTACACTATATGAAATTAACTAACCTGTTCTAATCTGGTAGGTAGAAGCAAAGGCATCCTTAAACTTAGCTTTTTTAAAATACAAAATTTATTCTATTTAATGATTGAGAAGTTGAGGCATAGAAAAATTCAATGAGAACTGTTGAAGATATACGAAAATATTTTTGTGACTTTCATATATGTGTCCTTAATATACTATAGATATTTCAAAAAAACAGAAACAAACAGCAAATGTACTAATAAAAATCATATATAGATAAGATCTGCATACAAAATCACAATCTAGCACAATTCCAATCTAGAACCCCCTAAATTCCATTGCTTTGGAAAGGAACAGAAGGTTTCTATTTTCAAGCTATAGTGCTATATAATATAAAGGATACACTTGGAAATGCTGTGAAATTCTCCACTGTCCTTAGTCCAATATCATGGAGTGCTAGGCCAGGGTATTTTTGCTCTTCAAAATGTCTCCCAAGGAATGTCTTTTGCCTCCACCATTCTTTTTCTTTTCTGAAAATACTCTCCTAATTTAATTCGCTTGCTCTGATTCCTGCATGGTTTGTGAATAGTGCCTCTCAAAGAGTCCAAATGTTTCAGCTCTCTGAGCCATTTTTCATTCCTGGACAGTTGTCAACTCTGACAAGTTCTTAGTAACCCAATCTTTAAAAGGGTATGAAGAGGCAGAACCTTGAAACCTAATACAGCTAGAAGTCAGCTGGCATGAAGGAATGAGCCACAGTTGCAGCCAAATCCCTACCAATGAGAAAATGCCTTGTCAGAAATGACAAACATTGTCAATCCTTCTCAAGCAACCACTTCTTGCTGCAGCTCAGACAGCTCATTTGAGGCATCCTAGGATTTTCAAGGATGAGAACTACCCAGTCATTGAAAACCTATGGGACGAGTTTCTATTTCAGCACATGAGCATATTGTGGGCTATCATGTTATGCCTTCAAGAAATTAGGACACAGGCTATTAGTAGGGCAAAGGTTATAGAACCAGGACTCTGTCAGTTTCTCAGAAACTCAGTTCTATGAAATCTTCAAGATGGATATGGAACAAAGTCACAGAACGAAAATACCACTTTTGTTTCCTAACATTTTTCAGTATCAAGTAAGTACTATTAAAATGACCTCTATTTCAAGTCAGTATTATCTAGTGCAATCAAGAGGAAAGAACTGAGATATAGTCTAGCAAAGGAACATGATAATACATTACAGAAGGCAATTAGGCAATGTAAGTCATAAATTTTAATTTTCAAGTACTTTGAAAAGGCCAGGTAAGAGAACAGATAGAATAAAAGCCTTACTGGAAGCACAGATGTTTGGCTCCTCTTTTCTAGCTGGTTATGATAATAAAATAATAACAAATAACTAGTATATCCTTGCTTTTTGTTCTTCCTTTTTTCCAATCCCTTTCCTTTTTCTTATGTCTTTTGGACTGCAAGTCTAGATGACGGGATTGTCATTGCTGATCTTTAAAAAAATCCATTAGGAGTCTTTTTCAGCTATAAAAAGGTCAAGTCTCTATCAATTATAGTTCAACCTGTTGTAACTCTATAGAGATATCCATGCAGTTTCCTGTATGTATGGATATGATTTGTCTCTGCCTTCTTGCAGGACATGCCTCAACTTCTCATTCTATCTTGTGTTCTTTATATTCCTAGAGGACTCTCATCCCGGTATTCATCAGACTCAACCCTACTTAATTTTGAAGACCAGTCAAGGTCAGTCAGATGAGGCACTTGTAGAACACTGTATAAAATGAACATAAATCTCAGACTTCTATTTTCAGAACTGTTTGTAATGGAAATCCAAAAACTCTTATGAACTCAAGATGGTTATCTTTAAGATTAGGTTACCCAATAAACAAATAATAATTTTTATCATTAAATTTTACAAAGGAACAGGAAAAGAAAATGAATACAAAAAGGGGGGGGGGAAAGAAGCAAAAATGGATTTCTATTTCTATTTTTCTTCATAAAAGGATTTGGTAAATAGACTGCATAAATGGTAAAAAGGGCTTCATAAATAGACTTGGTAAACAGGATTTCATAAACAGACTTGATGGACATAAACCTACTCATGCTTTCCCCTGCTGTCCAAAATAAAATGCCATGTTTTCACCCTAGAGGCAATGTGATTGCATTTCATAGCTGGATGGGTAGCCATCACTATATAATTGATGAAACATTTTTTAGAGAAGCTGGAGATGAAAAATCAATCTACTTTTTCCACTCCATAAGGTAATTTTGAAGGTGTTCATACTGAAGTGCTGTTTTAAATGTGGTCCATTGCCATCAGATAATACAGGCTTCAAACTATTCTGAAGTTGATCGGATCTTTGAAACTGGATCAATTGTAACTTTAATATCTAAAGAACTTTTAAAGAAAATTGAAAAAAGGAAGAGAGCGAAGCACAGGTGCTGTTGCCATTTTTGTTAGAATCACATTGCACCAGCAAGAGAACCAAGGTTAAATTCAGCTGCAGAAAAAAATAAACTAAACCTATTTTAGGTCTAAATTAAATAAATGCAACTAAGTGTTTTATATATTTACATTGCTATTTATAAAATTGAAATAGCAGCCTAGAAGGAATCAATAGAAGAACTACACTGAATAGGTATGAAATCAGTGGTGGGATTCAAATATGTGAACTATGGTTCTTTGTGTGGATGCCGCTTCCGGAAGTCCATTCTGGGCCTGGGCAACAAAAAAATTAGCCATTGGTTCTGCCAGTGGTACAAACCGGCTGAATCCCACCACTGGATGAAATATCTTCCCATCTCTGGAGGTGCTACTTCACAAGCATCATAATCCTAATCCACTTTAAAAACAGATACACCAATTGTATTAGAGGCAAGTTTCATCTTAATGAGTTTTCTAAATAAAGAAGTAATCAAGAATATAGACATGATGTTACTAGTGAGCTGTCAGGAGAGGGGTTTTTTATGACAAATGCATTAGATTAGATCTAGTAATATTTTTCAATGTTAAATCACAATTCATTGTTTTGTTATACACATATTCAGATGGATGGATGGATGGACAAACGGATAGACGAACAGACAGACAGACAGATAGATAGAACACCTGGGGAAACAATGGAGGACTGAAGACAGTTCAGTGAATGAACTGGCTCCCCAAATTCCTCTCAGGGTTAAGGAGAGGACTTGGGATCCTCTTTAAAGTGCTCTTTAAAGACTCTCTCCACAATGAGACCATAAAACAGGGGTTTCTGGCAGATTTTAGGGGTCTGGGTGACAGGATAATCAGCTTTGTCCAAGTAACACTTCGGAACCTTCAAACGGACACACAGGGTTCATCCACGTCCCCTCTCTTAATAACTTTTACTGGAAAAAATGGCTTGTAAATTGCTTTTTAGATACCAAGAACTTTTAGAAGAACAAGAGATTTTTTCTTCAACTCTCAGCAAAAGAAGAGTAAATTTAAGAAGCTAAAGACAACTTTTTTAAATTTGGAAATAAACAGCAAAGTTAATTAGAACACTGATTTTCAAAAGTTCTAAACTACCATGGGGCCAGGTTGACGGGAAATAAAATTTTGAAATAATTATAAGTTTATTTTAAAAATGTATTCAAAATATATGAAGATTTTGAATTTAAGGATAAGAAATCATTGGGGAAGTGTTGTGGATTAGAGAAAAACATAAGAGGAAACCTTGAAGGCTGGTTACTTAGAGGCAACCAGAAAGAGCTAGATTATAATAAAAACACCGTTTTAGAGTCTAAAGTTATAAAGAAATCAGAAACAGACACATATAGAATATGAAGGATTGGTTGGAATTATCAAAGTAACAGGCTTCAAATTCTCTATACTTTTGCTTCTTGACCACATAATGAAATAAAGATAGCTGTTTCCTCAGGTTTAACATCCTTACCCTGAGTAGACCAATAATCTAATATATTATTTCTCAATGACTTCATCTATGCCAGCTGTTCCACCTATTCAATTCCTCAGTAGTGACTTATTCATTTCTTATAAATTTCTCATAACAATATCCAATAATCACTGAAGCAATATGATGCCTGTCCTCATTACTATTATTTTGAGACGATGAGCGTTGTCCCAAATAATAAATCTCAATAAATAATAAACCTCATTTATGAAGAGTTGAGCTTAGATTGTCCTCATTTGCTAAATTACAACTTATCCCAGATCTATTTACTGTGCTGACAGGAAATTATGAGGGTGATCGCTATAACATGATGTCATTCCTAAAGGACTGAAGGTACAGTCTATATCAGGGGTGTCAAACTCAATTTCATCAGCATTGTGGTTGCCCTCGGGGGGCTGGGTGGGTGTGGCCAGGGTGGGTGCAGCCTACTGGGTGGCATGGATGGAGTGGGTGTGGCCTACTGGGTGGGCATGGCCAGCTCTACATCATTCATGGCAAGGGTGCCTGTGGGGGCCTGGCCAGTAGTGAGACAGATCTGAGGTTCTCTGACAGAAGGGAGTAGGACCAGGGCAAGTGCCAAGGCATGGTCCACTGGAGGAGCCTCACTGTTCCTCTCAGGCCACGTGGGGGGGGGCTGGATGGTGGTGTGGGCCGCCTGGAGCCCTGGGCAGCAGAAGTCAAACAAGTAGCCTGGCCCTCGAGCACCCACGGCACCAAGCCCAGACTCACTTCTCCAGCTGCACTTACCTCCTCCTCAAGGCTGCTGCTGCTGTGCTTGCTCTCCTTAGCCAGGTTGCTCATGATGGGTATGAGGGCAAAGTCAGAGGGAGGCCCATTTCTTCTCCATGGGAGGAGACCTGGCTTTGTATCCAAAGCTTCCTTAGCAATAGGATGGGAGACCCCCAGGATAGGCCAGGAGGAGGGGGCAAGGGGATGGTGAAAGGCAGCAGGGCAGGACTAAGGCAGGACTTCCCTCAGACCCTCCTTCTCCTTCTTTCCTTCTTTCCTTCCTTCCTAAGTACACAGTGGTGGGAAAATATTTGAGATGAGGGAGGGAGAAAAACAGGCAAGAAACGCAACTGGGGAGATGTCACCCTTCGTGAGGAATGAAGAAATGCATCATTGCATGGAAGTGGCCAGCACATGGCCCTCACCTACTTCACATACTGTATCTGGCTTGGTGGGCTCTGGGGGAGGGGATGCCATGAGCAGTGTGAGAGTTAATGTTACCTGCACAATGCTGCCAAGCCCCTAGCCTGCACAGTCTTGGCAGGCAGTGGGGCACTCTCCTCACAGCGCCGAGAGGCTGAGCCGGGTGGCGCAAATCCAAAAACAAGGCCTCCCAGCCCCAGCCTGCCCGCTTTCAGCAGGCAGCGAGATGCTTTCCTCACAGTGCCGAGAGGTTGAGCCGGGTGGTGCGAAGCTCGTCATCTTTGCACCTTGCTGCCTGCTGAAACTGGGCAGGCTGGGGGCTAGGCAGCATTGCACTTCTCATCAGACTCGCACCACCCGTCTCATGTTTGACATATCTGGTCTATATATTGCACAAATCCAAATATCATATTATAGGCTCTCAAGGAAATTACTCAACTATTGAATCAGCAACCCTTACAACAAGCAAAAAATAATCACCAATGGCATCTATACTCTCAAACCCCAATTTCCCCAGCTTTGCTAAGATAACAAACCTATACTATAGAACTCACCTCCTTTTAGAAAAATAAATAAAATTGTTTATCCAAGCTTTTATAAGAATCTACTTACCACATTGGGAAACCTCTGCCTCTAGTGTGATATATCCCATCATTTACAAGTGACGTTCTCTAGATACTACATAAAATAAAACAGGCCAGATTTTGTGCAAAAGAATGACACACTTGTAACCAGAGCTCAAAGTGAGGACAAAGTAATAATAGACCATTTTAACCTCTCAGGATGTTCCATTATGATCTAAAAATAGCAGTTTTGGAGAAAAAGAAACTTTGCCAGTATAATTGAATGAAATATATTGAAATATAAATCAATATATTTCAACTAATTTTAGAATTTATGAACAGAATAGAAAGACTAGAGTAGAGTAGTATTCTTAGGAGATATAGCAAAATAGTTAACACACTAATGAAAGGTATTGAAAGACAGAATGTTCAAGCTTTTATCCCCACACATAGTATCAGTGCACAAACAAATATGCAATACACTTTTCATTTTTCATATCCTGATGCATAAAATATAAATTAGGCTTATCCTTTTTTTTTAACTGTTAAGTTCATTAGAATCTTCTGCCCTAAAATTCATTGTCCTTAACCTTGCATTTAAAGGCACACTGAAATAGATTTAGGTAGCTTCATGGTTTCATTGATGGTTTTGTGGAAGATGTGGACACAGAGCTAGGCAAAGTTCACTCCTTATGACAGGCTCCAAAGATCATATAACTATTCCCAATACTTGGGGGAGAGCCACAAAATTATGGTTAACTAACAAAAGTTCCCAGTTCAGTCCTTACATCTCCAAATAGGACTGGGAGAGATTTTTGTCTGAAATTTGTGACCACTAAGATCAACCATGGTACACAATTCTGACCTAGACAGATCAGTAGTCTCATATCCCAAACTTGGTAGCTTCCTTTTGTCATCATCTATTAACAATGCTGGATGGAATTCAGAGCATTCAATGCATCTGTGCAACACAGCATTTAGGAAGTCTAAGGTATTTTTTATTTTCTTGACAGAAGTAGAAACTCAACATTAGCTAGATCTGAGATGAGGATGGATGGGAGCTAATTAAAACTGGTTTCTTTCTTTGAAATGA